GAATCAGAACCAGAACATTCAAACAGAGACAAAGTGAAGATGCCTTTGTCAAGCACAGTGTGCTCTTCATCTAAAACACATGAGTTTGTGGTTAGAATGTTAATGCAATAAAATGACATAGAACAGAAAATATTTCCACTCCCGAGAGATGTGATATCCTTGAGCAATTAAATTAGAACAAAGCTTAGTAGAACTGATTCCAGACACTATCTTCCACAGAATCAGTAGCAGCTCTTGTAGTGAGGGAGATCCGCAGTGAAGAAATATTGACTGACAGTCAGCAAGAAATCTGCCAGCTCTTATACGAAGGATGCTAAATACGACAATGGGGCCTTCACAAGCCTGTGATTGTGTTTAATAGCAACAGAAGTCAAAAATGGGAAGTTTTAATAGAAGGGTTTTTGAGGGATTCTAACTGATTTCTTTAAAGAGAGATTTCAGAATACAAGTACCTTTCTATTGCAGAACTGCTGCTAAACATTTGCCTATTCTACTCCAGAATCTACATCACTGGCATGTCCTTGCAGACTGTTACTTAGTTTTGCTTCCATCCAACCCTCCAGCCAGTTTCTTTCAATGCATCCTGCTTACATCAGATTCTCTGAATGTATGCTACCTATCAGAGGATGCTGGAAACAGGGAGTGCATAAGGAATACAATGAAATCAGAAACAGAACAGTGCTGGAAATACTCAATAGGTCTGGCCGCATCTGTGAAAAGACAAACAGAGTTAACGTTTCAAAATGATGACCTTTCATCAGAACCAGATTCCTAGCAAAGTTGTAAATAGATTATTACCGTTAGCTGTCAGCGAAGGCGTGGAAACAGCAACAATTCCACAGATGTTCAGACTAATGGGTGTAAGGATAGAAGGTAAAGTACCATCTGATTGGCTATTCCTCTGATCTGCTGTCCTCCCAGTTACTCCAAAAGATTTTTTCCTCTGGACAAACTCAATACTGAAGAAATCCCAACAAGTGCTGTAGTAAAGGGTACTAGCACAGCAACAAGCACTAGTTATGGGTCCTCGAAGGTGATACTCAATGAAGTTGGGAAACCATATCTCCATTTGAAGGCTGGCCTTGATAATCACTATTTTGCCACCTTTCCCAATTACCACAACACCATCAGGAATCGATGGTTTGTCTGCTGATGGCTGGTGTTCGGGATCATCATTCCCATCCTCTTTTATTGATACAACCCCAATAAAAACTACTGGCTGTTCGAGGTGGTGCAGCACTTTTACTCGTGATGCATGACCTTTGGCCTCAGAGCTCACATATTTGATTGGCACAAAACAAAGTTGCCCATCTGGCAACCCACAGAGGATGACGGGTGAGTTCAGCATGTTCGCATCCACACTGAAGAGCAAGCTGAAAAGAGATGGTTCGAGAGACATGTGAGCATCCCCCCTCAGTTGCTTCTCAGAATCTTTCACCGTCCGAGGGTAAATGCAACATAACACTGGTGGGGAAATTGTTTCGGGTGATTTTTCACAAGTTGGGAAATTGGAATGAAAAGGAAAGTCCACGTCTTCAATTTTTCTGCACGGCTGAAGTTCGCAGCCTAGAGGTGGGAGTCTGAGGAAGGTCACCCTCCATTTCCGATCCTCCTTCACCACTGTTACGACAATGTCATCCAACAGAATGAAGGAGCTGATGGCAGGATCCCTGATGATGCATCTCTCAGCCCTGACAGCACAGACACGAGGCATGCTGATCCCACGGTTACATTCCGATTGAGAAGCAGCAAGAAGCGATTCCCCAGCTCCAGTCTCTTCTACAAGGCTGAAAAAAATACAGAAAGAGAAAAGCAAACTGCATTTTTTTTATATGGGGATATTTGGCAATAAAATGAACTTTGAAAACATAATGATATACTAAACATGTGTCAAGTGACAGAATCTGGAAAATGAATCTAGCTATCAGCTGCTTTCCAGTTCAAATTGCTAGATAAACATTCCACTGAAAGACTACAGTTAGTGAAGCAATTATTGGGAAACATCAGAGATTCTCTTCTTTTTAATTTGTTCACGGGACAAGGGCGTAGCTGGCTAGACCAGCATTTATTGCCAATTCCTAACTGTACAGGGTTAACCACATTGCTTTGGGTCTGGAGCTACATGTAAGCCAGACCAGGTAGGTTTCCTTCCCTAAAGGTCATTAATGACCAGATGAGTTTTATGGGTTTTTCAAACAATTGACAATGCATTTATGGTCATCATTAGGCTCTTAATCCCAGATTTTTAGTGAATTCAAGTTCCACCATCTGTCGTGGCAGGAGTCGAACCTGTGTCCCCAGAACTTTACCTGGGTAACTGGATTAACAGGCCAGTGATAATACCACCATCGCCTCCCCTGAGCACTGCATACTCCTCTGATACTGCATTAGACAAGGAGTAGAGGCCATCAAATGGTTCAAACGGTTTAGAAGGTGTCTTCAATTGTGTGAAGGAAACTTAAAATGTTTTGTTTAATGGAACAAGCAGAATCTGTTAATCTAGCAAGTATATATGTGGGTGATTGAGGTTAATTGATGAGGTGTACCTAAAGGGCAAGCAGGTGGTTCTTGTGTGTGGAAGGAGCTACGGATCAAGTATTCAGTAAACTTTACCGACAAAGAAAGGAGTCTTGCTTTCCTTCATACTGACTAGTTTGGCTCTGATTTTACATTGGTGCCTAACCACCAGCAGCTTGACATTGTTTCTATGGTAGTGTGATGATGCTGTGGCAGTAAGAGGTGTGTTTTGTCAAGGTTTCTTTTAGAGTGAAATTGGGGAACAGATGCCCAGCAGTCTATGAGACGATAGACAACTAATGAGGTTTTGGGTTTTTTAAAAAAAAGTTGGAACAATAGAAACAGCCTAAGTGGGTGTGGTCAAGCCTCCACAAATCCAGGATTTTTAGTTAGCTTTTGGCAGTTGTTGCTGTTGGGGTCTTGAAAAAGTGGAAGCTATTCCTCCCTCTCTTGATTACTGGGGGTTCTCTTCCTGGGCTGCTGGATTGCATTTGAGACAAATCAGTTTTCTGAATTTGCCTTTTGCCAAGTTTGTGTTTATGGATGTTACTGTATTGGAACAGTTAATTGGTAATAGTTACTGTATCTACTACTCCATTAAGTTTTCCAATAGAGTTAAAATATTCAAAATTCTTCTTTCTTTTGTGATATTTTAACTATAGTATTTGAATAAATTGTGTTTTGCTTAACATTCAGTAGTTTGACCAATCAAATTGCATCTGGAACACAGCACCTGACATTTATATTTAAAATAAGAAAAAGTTAGGCTCTCAGCTACTTTCTCTCTATATTTTGAGGGAACCTGGTCTGGTCCTTAACAGCAGTATGGTGTTCGTGTGAAGCTGCCAGATTCAAGATTTTGGCTGTTATCTCAACAATCAGGATCAAATTACATGTTCAAATGAATGAGGATATATTAAAATCAATGGAGAAAAGAAATATCAATAAGAAACAGCATGTAAAAAAACATTTTTATGCAAAGCCTTGTTAGAATTTGGAATACAAATGCCAGATAAGTTGATGGAAACAGATTCAATAGTGGCATTTTGAAAGAAGTTTGATAAATATTTGAAGGAGAATAGATTGTAGGGATATGGGGATTGCCCTTCAAAAGACTCAATAGACTGAATTGCTTTGAGCACTGCACTATTCTCTGATTCTAAGTTAATTTTGGAGTGTCTGAAATTTAATTGTCAAACTAAACTACTGTATCTATCTATACACCTGAGACTGAATCCATTCTAATCCCACAACGACTTTACAATTTATCAAGCTTAACTTAATGTTCAACCAAACCAAACTGCGTTCATGCAAACAGAGAGGCTATTGGGCTATTAATCATTTCACTGAGTCTTTAGCAGGAGGTCAGTGCTGACAGATAAGTTGTTAGTCTGCTAGCAAGGGTACTATTACAGCGCTTGATATGTACCAGGGGTCGGTTAGCTCAGTTGGCAGGGCGGTTGGTTTCTGATGCAGAGTGAAGCCAACAGTGTGGGTTCAATTCCCACACCAGCTGGGGTTACCATGAAGGTCCCTCCTTCTCAATCTCTCCCCATGCCTGAGGCATGGTGACCCCTGGGTTAAACACCACCAGTCATCTCTCTCTAATGAGGGAGCAGCCCTGTAGTCCTCTGGGCCATGGTGACTTTTGACACGTGTCACCACTGACTGCTACAACAAACTTGTAGCATAAACCTCTACAGGCTGAGCCTAATGTAACATACAACAGGGTTTTCATCTATAAAAATGGTTGTTGGCCAAAATTATTGAATTTTTGTCACTGATGAAGATTAGGGTTATATCTTCAAAATTAGAACAAAAAAAAATTTAAATTTGAAATTAGGCAAGACCGAAAGTAAAATTATTAAAGTGACACTGGTTATTACACTGTAGCCAGATATGGAATGGCCACAGTATTAGTTGCCAGTGAAACTCTGTTCGTTAATGCTGAACTTTTGTGATGTTAGGAAATGTGAGAGAAAGGAAAAGAATTGTAATTTTTAATGTGAAAGTTGAATAAATCTGTAAAGACTGAATATACAGAAAAGAATAATAAAATATCTGATGCATTTTGAAGACAAGACTTGGAAGGAAAATGGACATTGGTTTCGTTAAACAAAATTCAATCAATAGAATAAGCTTGGAATTTAAACTAAAGAAAAAGACAAAACTAAAATGTCTTGTGGCTGTACTGTTATGTTTCACATTGGAAGAATATCTTCTGCTCTTCATAAAACCTGTACCATAAAACATTTAACAGCTGCAGCTTGATAGCTGTAACACAACAGCTGCCTTCAAACAGGAATCTCAGTCTAGACTGCCATTTAATGCCCAGACCTTCCCAAGGGGGTATGTTTCTCTGTATCAGCTCAATCACCTCTGGGAGGAAAGAGAAAACAGGGAGGGGAATGTACTTCATCTACAGAGCACACCTGCCAGCTGGTTGACAAAGGAGCTACATCTGTTTGAAACCTGACTGGTAACAGAAAGAAAATGCAAAGTTAGCACCTGAACTTGCAACTTCAAAAGTAGATTTTTCATGCTTTTACTTGTTGTTGGGTTCCAAAACTGAATGAATTGTGAGACTAGGGTAGATTCTTAGCTTGAGACCTATGCTTTGCTGATTATAAATTTCATGGATGTTCACGTACATCCTGAATAGGACAGATAATTGGTTAACTGTTCAGAGTTGTACATTGTCTTGCACTACATAACTCCAATTGCTTGACATTTTAATTGTTGTCCTGAACCCAAGACCAATATTTGAAGAATATTTGTCTCCCCTTGCTCGTCCCAGACCCATTCTCATCAGTTTCCTCCCCCTCTTGTTACCCGTTAATATCACCTTTCATTTCTCCCATGAGAGATAAATTGTTCTGTGGTCTTTTATCAAAATTAATGTAATTGGAGAGTATATCAGGTTACATAGGTCAAGTGTAAAACTTTGCAGAATTCTGTCATTAAATGCTAGGTTATTTTGTGTAATCACAGAAGTAGATAAAAATCAAACCTGTATTCAAAGTTAGAAAAGAAGAAATATATCTTTCCCACGGCTAGTCCCTACCTCACTCCTTCTGTACTCATACATTGCTGTGCACTATTCTCCCAGCCTCTTTCCAAGTGGCCCAATAAAAAGCAGCATTCCTCACCTCTTGCCAAAGTACCCACAGGGTTAGTGTTGCCAACTTCCCATCCTGCTCAGCCCTTTCGCCATCACCTCATTCAACTCTCTCTTTGGATCGTTCATTGTCCCTCTTTCATGTCCCTTCACACTGTTGAATCATTCAATAATAATCCCCCGGTATTTACAATTGTATTGTTCTTTAGGGAAGGAAATCTGCTATCTTTACCTGGTCTGGCTTACTTCTGACTGCAGACTGACAGCAATGTTGTTGACTCTTAACTGCCCTCTGAAATGGCCCAGCAAGCCACTTAGTTCAAGGGCAATTAGGGATAGGCAACAAATGCTGGCCTTGCTGGTGATATCCACATCATGAGAGATTTAAAGTAAACTATTTTATTTGACTGTAATTTGTCTCCTACAGAAACTGCCTTGAGTATTGTTCTACCACCTACTCACCTAAACTATGATGATGTGTGGGCCTTTTCAGCAAGTTACATACTGAACTTTCATTCATTGGTACTTCTCCCTTCACTGAGTTCCTCACTTTGTTCTGTCCTGCTCATCCATTCGGGTGACTGTTGGTTCTGTTTCTCTGAATTTGGCCATTTGTGCATCCCTCCTTCCTCTATCTCATCATCAATGCCACCCAGGCCTCACGCTCTGGAATTCCTTCTCAGTCCATCTGCCTCTAACTTTCTTTTCCCAAGATCCTCCTTGAGTCTCACCTGTCTTACCCAGCTTTGGGTCAACCTGCCTAATATCTCTTTTGATTCAGTATCCACTTTGTTCCTTCAGCTTCTTTGAAGGGCTTTGGGGAAAAATTACCTCCCTTAAAGACATCAGATAAACTATTGTGATATTTTATTAAAATTAAGACAACTGGAGAATAAATTAAGCTACGCAGGACTAGTGTGAAATAGTTGCACTCCGTTATATTGTGCAAAATATTTCTAAAGCGGTTGAAAATCATTGGGCCTGTATTCAAAGTAAAATAGGAAGAGACGTACTTCAGTCCAGCCTTTGTGTACCTATGGTTGTCTAATTCTTGTCAGTGCAGACATGTAGTCATCTAGACTGTAAACATTAGCTTGCTCTCTCTCCTCGGATGCTGCTGGACCTGCTGAGATTTCCAGCATTTTTTGTTTT